GCTGGATATTACATGTATAAATAAACTGAACAGACCTGAGTACCGTATGTTTGATTACTGAAAGTAATAAAATGCAGTTACAACCACACCTTGACTGGGACATTAGTATATACTGAGGATTGTTCCCTTTCAAAATATCATTTTTTAATGAAGGACATTTTTCCTGTGTTTTCCGGAGAACAGTTTGTGGCTTGAATGCATTCATGTTAGGTCAGTGTGCGGTCCTTTAATTTGGCCCAGGACTCAGTTCTGACTGCCTTAACCTAACTTGGACACGACTGTAGCAAACCACCTCTGAATGTGGGCGGATCTGCTTCTCCAACCAGCCTGGGTCCACTCACAGCTGTAATCAGTTCACACAGGATGTTGTGTGATACTGAATATGAACAGGCCATAATTGTCTTGGTTAACAAAGCCCTAAATTTCTCCGTTTTGCCTGATTAGATATTTGAAGGCAGTAAATAAAAGAGACGACAATTTTACTTGTGCATACAGTTAAAATCGCACTTATGAAACCCACATTATCTGTTTAGATTAGGAAAGAACCACTAAGAAATCTACTTCAGATGACTACCTTTGTTAAGAACTTATTGCAAGCAAGGCAATAAATCAGGCATATTGAGGTCAGACTTCAAGTTTTAGCTGCATTGCTGCTTGAGTGAAATACAAATCTACTTCAGCCATTAAGTTCCTTTACCCGAACCGTTTTATAACAAAATCCTTGTGCTGTGAAGGAAATAAATATTAAGTATTAAATTCAGGGCAGTGGTTCAAATTCCAGACTTCTAATATGTTTCCCGTATAATACACAGACTTCAAAAAGACAGAGTGTGGGAGGGCAATATGTGGTACAGAAGACAGAAAATCGATTTTGAACGAGTCTCATGGCTGCGTGAGTCATGAAAGCATCGAGTTCATGAAGGATCCTTTCAACTTTCCTTTCATGCAAATGTATCAAAAAAAAAAAAAACTTTCCATCCAAGAATGGCTGCACCGCTTCAGAAAAATTTCATTGCTCCAGCAGCATGAAGGGATGTGGAGCTCAAAGAATGAAAATGAAGATCACAGCTTGAACATTCAAGTGTAAAGAATGTGGCTAATGTGATAAAGTTGATATAAACATCAAAAGGCGTTGCAGAAATAATCTAACAGAATATAAAAAAAGCTTTGTGACATTCCCTGTATTTCATTGAGACAGTAAATTATTGTTTTATTGCTTTATTGATCAGAACACTAATTACATGTGAATTACAATGTTCAAATAAGAATCTCCACTTTGCATTGTTACAAAATAAAATTATTATATGCAGTAAATCAAATTAACTTGAGAAAGGCCTGACCTTCTTATTCTTACTTTGCACACAGTGCACAGCTATTTAAAATATGTAAGTGTTGATGGTGTTTCTGGAGGAAAAAGACCTTAAGTTTGCTATTTTCAGCATTACTAAAAAGGTCAGCGATATAAGGAGGTATTTAGAAGGAAGCAGTATTTTTACATGTTGAGACTGTCTAGTTTAGCAAAGTCCTTGTAATATTATTTTTTCACTTTCATTCTCTGTCATTGAAGATGCTGGCAGTATTTTATATTATCAGAAATCATTTATGATTTTATAGACTTATAATTCTATGGAAAACATGAACAAAGTTGTTTTAATAAGGCTAGTATGTTAACTCTGCTAATTTGTTATATAAGACACTGGATAGTTAAAGATACCCGTTTTCTAATCAATTCTACCTGTTTTAAAACATAAAAAAAAGTTTTAGTCTCACTTCTCCCCCAAACAAGCAGCATGATGAGTGATCTGTTCCCAATAAATAAACCATATATCTTTAACTGTCCCCATTTTTTCTCTCCATTTCAAAAAAGAATAGCATAACTGTTGATGATGTATGGATAATAATCAGGTGTCTGGTTATATGAGGAGAAACTGCTAAGGATGAAGTTTAGCTGAATGAGTGAGGCTGCATGGGATGCCGTCACCCGTCTCTATTTATTCACTGGATTGGTGATTGCCCGTTGGTAGTACATGGTGGAGTGAAGTCACCGGCTGCCATATTGGTACTCCGCAGTTAAACCAGTCGCAATGTAAACAATACGTTTGCTACAGCATCGAACAACAATGATTTTCTCGTTCTCAGGTGGGCTTAAGACTTTTAAAATAAAGATACATTTATCACTTTACATACACTTGCTGTCTCATACACGGCAGAAATGATGTGGAAATAAGTAAAAATGTCTTAAATCTAGTGTATTTACCCTTAATTTGAGCAGGCAAGATGATTTGCCAATTGAAAGACTATTTTTACTCTTAAAATCAGATAATTAGATAATATGTGCTTTTAATAAAACAATGCAGTTGCTTTTTCTTATTTTAAAAGTAAAACTATCTTGTTCCATTGGCAAAGTATCACACTTACCTCCTCCATTCGAGACAAAATGCACTTATTTTAAGAAAAAATGGCTTATTTAGATTAAATTTATTTTTTGCAGTGTAGCATAAGTAGATTAGTAATTTTTGATAAAAAAGATAGGCACATTACATTGCATGGTCACTATGAAGTCTATAAATCATGTAATGTAACATATTATACAAATCCATCAAACCAAAATTAATGTGTTTATGTAGTATAATAATAATAATACAGATTTGCTAAAATTGCTAAAGTGATCATGTACATGTAATATACATGTATTGATAACATTGTTATGGCAATTACATATTACAAATCATTTGAACATTTTACATCAAGACTGAATTACAAATACATGTCTATTAATGCTATAGTATTTTCCTATTTGCAAATTGTGCATGCATGATGCCTTATATTTTTATGTTGTGCCTGTGCATTAGTCTTTAAATCTGACATAGATTTACAATTGAGCTAAATTACTGAAACAATTTGATAACTCTTCAGTTTCTACACTAGCAAAATCATATTTTGTTACAGCAAGAATCTGATGGTATGTATAAACACAAACAAACACAAACACACACATACACTAACCAGTGATTGAATGCCTTTAATGATATAACTTACACATGTAGTGTTAATTCACATTCAAATATACATATTATACATTTGAAATATGAAAAAAATATATAGCCAAATTGTGTTTCATACTATACTATAGGGTACATGGGTGTATATATGGATTTTCTTAGTTAGTACATTCACTGACAGTAAAATTACCTTTGAAACATCTTCCTAGAGTCAGGAAACAGCTTGTTTTTGCAGCAAAATGAAACACACGTACGCATTTTAGTGAGAGTGGGGAGTAGCAAGATGGCGGCAAGTGACTTCCCTTTTTTCGGGCTATCAGCAATCCAGTGAATAAATAGAGATGAGTGGATGCAGTGTGCTTTGAGAAGGTGGATAGCTAGCTAACCTGTTAGCTACAAATAAAGCAAATATACCTTAGTTTTCTCCTCAGTTCCCTTCCTCCTGATTACGTTAGCAACCACACATGCAGCATATAAACCTGCAAGTAAGAAACATGTTTTTGTTTTGTTTTTGATCAACTCCTTAGCAATGCCTCTACAAAAGACTAATAGCAGGGTAGCTAAATGGAGAATTTGAAAGTAAATTAGGCCTTAGATGCTAAGTTTTGGGGCACAGTGATAGACAACAATGATCCTTTCTATTATTCACTATTTGATCCTTTTTGGGACAGAATTAAATTTTATAATTATGATTTCTTACAGGTGTGTAAGATGGTAAGATCAATAAGATGCTTTTCTGGCAAAGATAAAACTCTAAAATCCAGCTAAATCGCTGATCAGAATTTTTCCTTTAAAAAAACAATCTGTACCTTTAGGAACTTCTTGCAATTCTGAGGTTTATTTAAAATTAAGACCTTTTTACATTACTTTTTATCAAGACATTTTACAGAAACACTTCCCTATTTTTTTTACTACTGTAGTGTGGAATGAATGAAAGAAAACTATGCAAACTAGAAAGAAAACATCTTTATCAAAATATATTTTGAGAGTAACTTTGGTGTTTTTGTAAAACTCAACCTGAGTTGAGTTTTACAAAGTGAATTCCTTTAAAATTTGTTTCACAGATCACATTCTCTTTTCTTCCAGCTGAATAAAAACTCTTTCTTCTGACCAATAATAATGGTGAAGCTAACGTCTCTGCAGACCAGTAGAAATGTTTCCTTGCTCCTTATTCCAGAGGAAAGATGTTAGCTGCAATTTTTAAATACTGCATTTTGTTCAATTTGTTTTTTTGCTCTCTGTGTGTTTTCCAAAAGTGAAATATGGTTCCATTTTCATGTCAAGGCTTCTGCTGTTTGAAGCTTTTTAACTGTTGCTTTCACTGTAGATTTATATCAGTAGCTATTAAAGCTGTTATTAAGTTAAAAGAATCAATGAAACAGGAAGTTAAAGATAACTAAAGAAATTTGATTCACTTGAAGAAAAAAAAAGATTAAGCACTGTTTAATTTTCAATAAATTTAGGGCAATTCTTTACATGTTAAAATAAAAAAAATATATAAATTTTTTGTACAAGATTTTTCATTTTGAGGATATCCTATATTGAGGGATATGGGCGACAAAATACAATAAATAATAAATATAGTATTAAGTGAATAGTGAATATATAATAATTCAAACAAATGTACCATGAAATAAATAAATGTAAAACTAAATAAACACGTGCCATTTAATGTACCTTTAAATAATTAAAAGTAGCCTTACATGATTAAATCTACTATTTATTTATTTAACACATTATTAGCTAAATGTACCATTGCATCATGAAATATCAAATAAATTTCATTTATTTATGTCAAGGTTTCTGAGCAGCAAACTCATCATGAAATGATGTCAACTATATATTATGCTATATTTATTTTTTTATGATTTTGTCCCCCATTAACCTTCCATTGTCCTGCTGGAATAAAAGAAGAATTTATCTGAAAGCTTTTTGCACATCTTTGCAGGCAGCTGAGCAGAAACTGATGCATGATAGAAATAAAGGCAGTTTTCTTACATGGCCTTGGTCGTCCAGCTCATTGTTGGTGAGCTTGAGCTTGTCGAAGCTGACCACCTGCCTCATCCAGGTGTCTCCTGAAGCCAGCGAGTCTGGATGGATGTAAACTCGCGGCGGCACCGGAGAATCAGCATTTCCTGCTACCATCCACTTGGAGCTGTGATAAACATACCTGCAGGAAAAACAGGACAACCCCACAGTGAGCACCTGGATTTACAACTTTGTTACCAGCGAGCCTCAATTTTGCATGATATAAAAATCGGTTAATAAACTGAATAAATCCAAAATTTACTTTATTAAAATCTACCTTTTATTCTTTATCAGATTCTTTCAGATAAATTCTTCTAATGATGTTTAGCATTCCCTAATCACCTTCTGTTTCCAGGACTCTTTTCGGATCACCGATTGTTTGTTTGATCCCTCTGTTGAGAAACGCTGAAAGGTCTCTGAGTTTGTTTTTCTCTAAGGAACAAACTCCAAATGCGGAGCTGCGTTGCCACAATAATGATTACAAAAACTCATCCTGCTGTTTCTTCAGACCACTTAAAACTTCCAGCAAGTCCAAGTTAAAATATCCCACATGAAATCCCATCTTAGCTGCATAGCTTCAATTAAGTTTAGTCATAATATTTGATGATGTTGTGCATGATTTCTGGTACAATGGGGAGTTCCACCCATTAAACAGCAAGAGAATGGGAAAAAAAAGAAAAGGAAAAGTTTTGTTGGTGTTAGTTTAGCAAAAACAAAGGATTGAGGCTTCATTTGATATCTTAGTGCAGAGAAAAAAAAAGAAGAGGGGAAGAAAGAAGCAATTAAAGGGAAAAATAAATGTATGGTTGTAGAATGTGGAGTAAAGCAAACGGATCTTGTGGAGAGGGAAACTCAAAGAGAGATAAATACGGTAGAAGAAATTAAAGGAGAAAAAGGAAGTAAAATATGGTTGAGAGTATGTGAGAGAGAGGGAGAGAAATAGAGAGACTAGGGTGCACAGCTGTTTGCTTTTAGTCCTGGCCTTGCACTTGGTTGAAAGTGTTTTATCTCCAGGGTTTCTGCCAAAGTCATCACTCAGTCCTGAAACATGGACAGGACTCCCATTTGGTCCTTTTGTCACAGCCTTCGAAAGCTGCACCGCCCTTTTTAACACATCTACACTTCAGAGACAAAAATACACATTATGCCACAAAAAAACAAACAAAACTAACAAAAAAAAAAACATCAAAAAAGGAGAAGTCATGCAAAGACAGTATTTCTGATCCTGAGAGTCACACTCCTTCAGACTGGCATATCGCTTATATAGCTTTGAGTTAAAGCAGCCAATGTAAACTTTTTCACACTTTGCTGCGCAACAACCACACACTCAGTGTATGTCACTGGGTTTTGCCATGAGCAACAGAAAGCAGGACACAATTAATTTCAATCTGAAAAACTCACATGGAGAGAAAGGACAATTAGAAGAAATTTATTGATACAATTACTTATTCTTTGACGCTCAGACCTCGGCAGGAAACATAGCGCTGAATTTTGACAGATATGCATGAACAGGAGCAAAGAATAGGGCTGTTCCCCCCCAGGCCTGAAACTGGTGGTGGAGTGGAGATAGATGAAGCTGGTCAGTCTGTAGACTGCTGGTTAGGCGGTCTGCTGAGCTTTATGGGGAGATCCATTGGACTGCTTGAGCTGATACTAGAGCTTCACTCAGGGACCTGGAAGATGGAAGTCCAGCTTGAATAACACAGGTTAAGAGAACCTGTCCATGATGAGCAAGCATGGAGCGACAGTGGAGAGGAAAAACTCCCCATTGGGAAGAAACCTCTGGCAGAACCAGGCTCAACATGCCGGGCATCTGCCGACCCACTTGAAATAAAATGCGGAATGCAGTAAGAGTCCGAAGTTTTAGCTATGATGGTGGAGGAGGGGCTGAAGGTGGGTAATATAAAGCAAATATTGAAACATGTGACTAAGGAGCAACGTACCAGACAGCTCAGAGTCAGGAATATTTAAAAATAGTTAGGATCTAACACAACATCCAGATATATTAGATGGAAATATTCATTTATTTACATTGTTTTAATTCATCCTGCTAGTGTATTATTTTTGTGTTTCAAGCTCAATTTGTTATCATATAGCATACCAGTATATATGTACTGTAAATACATTGTGTGACCGGGATTACGTCACTGCGCATTCATACAGTTTGTCAATAAGCCGAAGCAGTAGAAGTGAGGGACTATGTAATTACCAGAATAGTTGTGAAAAAAGATATTTCAAAATATAAAGTAAAAAGGAGCACGAAGATGTTTGATTACAAGAGGGGTAAAACTTGCGAAACTGTGAAAACGGTGATAGATACTGTATGTGCATCCATGTCCTAGTTACTATAATATCTAACATAAAAGATCATTTGTTATCTTCCAGTAACTTCAGGTAGTTTAGCAGTACTGCCAATAGATGGCGCGATGTCTGTTTACGTTGGCTCATCGTGTCTCGTTGCTCAGAAAAGATTATGAGGTTCTAAGGTAAAACCTACCTAAACAAGAGCATTGCTCTGATCTGAAAGGCAAAACAGAAAGAAAACTTGCAGAAAAGAGCTGCATGGTACCTCTAGAGGAGCTTTNATCTCATTTACCTACTCAAATTAAGGGTAAATACACTTAATATAAGAAAATTTTACTTATTTCTAGACTGTTTTTCTAGTAAGAAAAGACAATTAGAAGAAATTTATTGATACAATTACTTATTCTTTGGCGCTCAGACCTCGGCAGGAAACATAGCGCTGAATTTTGATAGATATGCATGAACAGGAGCAAAGAATAGGGCTGTTCCCCCCCCAGGCCTGAAACTAGTGGTGGAGTGGAGATAGATGAAGCTGGTCAGTCTGTAGACTGCTGGTTAGCGAGACGGTATGCTGAGCTTTATGGGGAGATCCAGTGGACTGCGTGAGCTGATACTAGAGCTTCACTCAGGGACCTGGAAGATGGAAGTCCAGTTTGGATAACACAGGTTGAGAGAACCTGTCCATGATGAGCAAGCATGGAGCGACAGTGGAGAGGAAAAACTCCCCATTGGGAACAAACCTCTGGCAGAACGAGGCTCTACATGCCAGGCATCTGCCGGACCACTTGAAATAAGACGCGGAATGCAGTAAGAGTCCAAAGCTTTAGCTACGATGGTGGATGAGGGGCTAAAGGTGGGTTGAAACGGGGTCATCTGAATTAATTCACACTGCGCACCCACCGCCTGCGCGCCAGCAGACGAGTTGCCGATCGGAGGCCTTTTAAGATAAACTTTTGATACTGATTGGCTTTCGTGGAGGTGTGGTTCAAAGCTGCTTGGCTGTGTTGCAGGCGGATGAAAGCCAGTAATCAGTTTATTCAGTTGAACCCCCGCCTAGGCTCCATAAAGCAAATATTGGAACATGTGACTAAGGAGCAACGTACCAGACAGCTCAGAGTCAGGAATATTTAAACATAGTTAGGATCTGGTGTATCTGCTGGTGTATTATTTTTGTTATTTTTGTGTTTCAAGCTCAATTTGTTATCATATTGCATAGCAGTTTACATATATTTACCGTAAATACATTGTGTGACCGGGATTATGTCACTGTGCATGCATACAGTTTGTCAATAAGCCAAAGCAGTAGAAGTGAGGGACTTTAGAATGATCAGAATAGTTGTGAAAAAAGATTATTCAAAATATAAAATAAAAAGGAGCACGAAGATGTTTGATTCCAAGAGGGGTAAAACTTGCGAATTGCAACTGTGAAAATGGTGATAGATATGTGCATCCATGTCCTAGCTACCATAATCTAACATAAAAGATCCTTTGTTATCTTCCTGTAACTTCAGCTAGTTTAGCAGTACTGCCAATAGATGGCGCCATGTCTGTTTATGTTGGCTCATCGTGTCTGGTGTTGAGGTTCTATTTAGGCTCAGAAAAGATTATCAGGTTGTAAGGTAAAACCTACCTAAACAAGAGCATTGCTCTGATCTGAAAGGCAAAACAGAAAGAAAACTAGCAGAACAGAGCTGCATGGTACCTCTAGAGGAGCTTTAAAGATCCACAGCTTAGGTGGAACAACCACAAACTGCAGTTTGCTCTACAAATATCTATGCTAAGTTATGCTTGAAAGGAGTCCTATGAAGTCATCCAGGGGATGTAGCATAACATTGAGCAAAGTCCTCTCCTCAGATCAGAACAAAACTAAACTTTTAAAAATGAACCCACATGTAAAGGTCCCGTCACACCTTGACGATTTAATCAGTGTATGCCTTGCGTAAGAAAAATCTGACATACGTTGGATAAGTTATGAGCACGCTGAAACACGCTGGCACACATCGACATACAGTATGTACGTCCAGATTTTTGACGTACGAATTTCCCAACATATGCCGGCGTATGCTCATACATGAACCGTAAGTTACAGGTAAGTTATCTGATCGTTGACATACGTTAAGTGAAAGTTACTCAAAAGTTGTGGCGTCTAGCTTATCCAAAACTTATGAGTAACTTGTGTATAACTTATGTGTTAACTTATCAACAACTTGTCTTCAACGCATATCAACCTAACTGACATGTTCCAGACGACCGCTAAACGTGTTTCTAACGTACAGCTACTGTTTAAGCGTTTTTGTATAAAAGGGGGTTCACATGAGGAAACCATCAGTACTCCTCCAGACTTCAGATGTTCCACTAGAGATGAAGGATCTGGCAAACCTGAGATGGGAGTACATACTAGCTGTCCTCCAACATCAGCATGATCTCATCAATTTGACTCTGTTCCAGTTATAGGGTGAGATTGAAGGTGAGTATGATGGATCCTGTATTCACGCCCATGGCCACGATCAACAAACTTCCTAGCAGGCATAACGCTGAATCTGCTGTGACTGCAAACCTTTCCTTTCTTTTTTTTTCTTTATTTCTTTATTCTTTTTTTTGTTTTGTTTTTTGGGGCAGGTGGATAAGTTAATACTGCGATCAAAGAAATCTTTTTATGCAGACCAGGTGCCTGCAGGTGCATTGCTGCCCCCTCAGGATACTGGCTTGTGACATTTCATGGGCGCTGCTGTGCGTTATGCATAAGTTAGGCTGTCATTAGACATACGTTCTGGACTCATTATAAGTACGCTATGTATACGCCCAAAAATGAAAAAATACATAGAAAGTCCAGTGTAT